TTTTTTTTTTTTTAGTTTGAGCTACTTTTTTTCCATTGCAAATGGAGTGATTTCTAACTTTTGTAATGTTTTTTTTTTGCTAAACATCTCTTTCTTTAGGTGAACTATATCTCGATATGCTAATAACTATATATCATATTTACTATATGCTCCAACTTCGATTTTTTTGTATTATTTTATAATTTTTTTACTTAGATTTTTTGTTCTTTGTGAGGCTTACGTCTCAATCCGCCTCGAGGCTTACGCCTCGCCTCATAAAGAAAAACCGCCTCAATACTTAGTTTCGTCTTTTTAAACCTTGACTGAATGCATGTGAAAAATGATAGAAACAATCCAATCCACAGAAAATTTTTGGTGGTGACTGATAAGATTACCGTACAGTAGCCCGTTGGAGCTTTGAGACCGCAAGCAGGGTCGAGGCAATCAGGTTGAGGTTGAGGCGTGGCTGCGTGGTTTCAATTCAACAATTTGGAGAAAGAATGACAGTGATTTGGATTGGGTTAAAATGTTAAAATTCATTTTATTAATTAGGCTTAAAACTTTTGTTGGTTTTGGGCTGGGAGAGAGAATCTTTTGTCGATCAAGATTTTCGAATTAGTTGGTCACCAATTATTTTTAGTCACAAATTATCAAAAATTTAAGGTTACAATTAAATAGTTGGTCACATACAAAATAGTAGGTCACATGCCACCACAACCACCAACACTACCACAACTGCCAACACGGCCACTTGCGACCACCCTCACCCTGCCATCGTCATCACCAACCATAATAGTACCATAACACCCCCATTATATCCAATCCATTGTCAACAAAAACCGCCACAACCACTACTATCAGATTTCCAGCCACCTCCATCACCAACCACCACTTACATGTTAACTATTGAATAGGTCACAAGGTCACAAATGCCGACCCACTCCAACAGAAACGCACCGCCTCCACCACCATTACCATTTTGCAACCCACCATCAACAACCTACATCACTACCATCGCACCACCACCACTAACAATCACCAACAACCACCACCACCACCACTAAAAACAACCATTTGCAAATTGAAAACAAGTAAATCACCAACAACTAACATCAAAACAACTACAAAAACTCTAGATATCTAGATCAGATTGGAACAGGAAGAAATAACACCCAAAAACCCCAAACCCCCTCCCTACGTTGGCACCAGTTGGCGTCAACGTCGCTAATGCGAAGTTGTGAATGGCAGCGTCGGTCAACAACGCTGCTGAGAACTCTCAGCAGCCCCCGATGCCAGCAGCGTCGGCCAGCGTAGCTCCTTCATCGCCGGAGCTTGAATGGGTCGGCGACATTCGAAGAGAAAGGAGGGAGAGAAAAGAAGAGAGATAATGGAGATATGTAGGGAGAAGAGGGAGAGAAAAATAAGTAGGGTTTGGGTGGATGGAGGTAGGGTTGGTATATAGATTAGTTTAATTTTAAAATATTATTAATATATATAATATTAAAAAGTTTAAATTGTTACCTAATTTAAAAAAAAAAATCTTTCAAATCTGACTTTTGAAGTGTGTATTTTAAAATTCTGGGTAGGTATAATTTTCACAAATAAATATTCAAGATTTACTATGTGATTTTTATACTCCAAGTATTCCATTGTGATATGGTTAATATTTTGGGAAATACTATATACCCAATTTAGATTCCAAATATTCTTTGTAGTTGAAATTTATTTTAATTATCATAGTATTAAGAGGTCATTTATTGTCGTTTCTAAACCATTTCAGAATTCAAAAAAACTTCATTGGCCAAACCGTAACACATACTTTTTGGGAAAAAACAACCTTCTTTTTTTTTTTTTTAATCCATCCAGTATGAATATTCCTTTATTGCAAAAACACATAATTTTCTGCTTTTCGACTTAATAATTTTCTGATTCACGACTCAGTAATCCATCCAAATATGCATAATTTGCAGAAACATGTGACATCTATTATGATTTATAAAATTTTGGTAAGTGGCGTGTTTGGTGACACATATATAGCTCACAGTTGATTATTCACTATGAGTGATGCGACTTACATGTTTTTTATTTTAATATATTTTCAACAGTATATCTTGAATAAAATTAATAGGGTTAAATTAATCAATAGCCACCCAACTTTATATTTAGGGTCAATATGCGGAACTAGGAAAGTAACTCAGTTTGGGCACAATTTATCGATATTGAATTCATAAACAAGCAGCAGCTCTCTTTTATCGTGGCACCAACCAACAAGTTGGACGAGATTTTTGTGTCTTAATTTACTGATGATCTTAACTTTTGATGCATACTCCCTATGACCTTGTTTGGAATCCTTCGACACTCTCTTCACTGCTATGTATGAATTTAAATCTCTCAAAAGTCCTTGATAAACCCCACCAAATCCTCCTTCTCCAAGCTTTTTCTCGTCTGCAAATTTATCCGTCACACGGACCAATTCTCCATTTGACAATTTCTTAGGCCCACATCCCATTTCAAATATGTCCATTGTTGTATCAAACGAAACTTCATCTTTTTCACCCTCCCTATTTCTTTTCCTCCATAAACTATTTCCGATGAGAACCAAACCGAGGATCAAAACAGACAGACCAACAATTAATCCAATTACTAATCCCATCTTCGTCTTCTTACCCACATTGTTCACTGCTGAACTAGGATTTGGATTAATATTTGTGGTTGTAGGAGGATCTGCTGGACCTGAACTATTACTTACTATTTCTAAATCGAATTGAATTCCCAGGACTTAACATTATTTTTCTCAAAGCACTCCCCTATAGCTGCTGAGAAACCAAAGCTCACCAACTCAGGTGAGTAATCTCTCAAATCTACCTTATAATCAAGCCGAGATTTTCGTTTCTGATTACTCATATAACCAGTGAGGATCACACTAAGATTTTTGGTAGTCGAATTATAACCAATCCAAGCATCATTCTGTTTCCATTCAGTAATGTTATTCCTCCATGTCAAATTAGTAGCAGAAATCAGTTCACATAAACTTGAAGCAGTGGCAATTTCAATTTTCAACAATACCCACAGTTCAAATCAAACTATGATAATCAAATTTCAACATTT